ATAAAAGATATCCTTAAAGTTTTACCCACCCACTCATCGCCGTAAAACCCAGAATAGCAGAGAGATAAAATACATTTGATTACGAAAAAAAGAATAGGATCATTCTTTGCTCTTTCTTAGAAGTTGACAGGTAGAAAAGGAAGTGGGGAAATGCCATGAATTCCTGTAGAAACTGTTACCTTTAGCAGATGAAAATTCAACTTCTGAGTGGTTTGTAAGCTAAAAATGCATTAAACGTAAAAGAAGGTCATTTAACAGTGCATCAAAATTAAGATCTAATGCCCCTCTCCCCCAAAAGTGTAGCGCTTCAGGAATAAAGCTAACAATGTGGTGTACACTGAGATTCTGATTTCCCATTATACTATTTCAGTTTTATGCTTGTGGAAATTCTCTCATTTCAATGCAGTTCTGAATGCAGCCATCTGTCCTTACCAGAGAAGGTTGTGCAGGAGTATTTCAGGAGTCTTGGAAGGAAGTCTCGTCTTAAGTATGCTGTAAATGTGCTACGATATATGCCACAAGAGCCCCCTCTGAATTTACTAAGACTACGCATTAGTAAAGAAAATAGAGTCTGGCTCACAGTGGAAGAGCAGAATTTTAATTCTTCTCCTTGGTTTCTTTTTACGAAGACAGCCTTGAAGGGAAGTTAGAAGCAGGGGGAAACACCTGATGGGGGTGCAGGCTGTCCCCTTGAGCCTGGTGGTGACATCCCCACCTGCAACTGGGTGAAATACGTGAGAGAGCTGGTGAGAAAAACAAGAGGGACCCTTCAGCATCACTGTCCACCAGGGCTCACTCCACTCCAGGAGAGATGAGCTGTGGCAGCAACATCACCTGTGTAAGAGCAAGAAGAGTATTGCTAACACAGACAATCAGGGATTATTCTACATTGCCAAAATAATAATGGAAAGAAAGTGCAACTGCCTTTCTCTTGTTTCTCTCCCTATTGAAGGTGAGGGTAGAGAAGGCTCTCTCTCAGCGTCACATTAGCAGGGCTGCTGCTGACCCGAGGCTTTAATAATTCACACTGCCTCTTCACAGACAAAGAGGTGCTGACCCAGAATGGATCAAATGTTTTATTGTTTTGCTTTTTCAGGCATATTTTCTGAAGATTGTTAAAACTTTTTTTTTTAAATGGGATGTATTTTATTCATCTTTTACCATTCTCTGGGAAAATGTATCCCTTCTGTCCTTGCTTGCAAGTAATAGTAACTTATATGACACTTTGAAAAAGTGAAAAATGTTATTGAAAATACTCTGCTTGGAAAAGATCCAAGGTCTCTCAGTAGATTAGCAAGCTCACCCACACCCCTTCAACAGTGTGAAGCTGCCATGATGACTATAATTGTTAAAAGGCAAAGGAAGCTGAAGATTGAAGAATTAGAAGGATGTTGTTGTTATGCACAGAAATCATAGCAAGGGCCATAGAACAAAAGCAGTCACTTCAAAACCCAGTGCTGTCCCAGCAGGGTGTTTTGTGATAGTTAGAGCAAGCGACAAAGTTGTTTGTCCGGGCCCTCCGCTTCTTCATCACTTAAAAAACCCACCTTGTTAACTTGTTTGTCTGTTACAACCAGGTAAAAGCTGTCCGTTTGTTAGGTAAAACCTGCCCTGCACAGCCACCATCTGTAGCTATTTGTAGGTGGCATGGCTGTAGCGGGAGGTGGTGGGTAGTTCTGGTGGCATAAAGCTGTGAACACGTGGGAGGGAGCCAACAGAATAGAGTATAAGAGATCCCAATCCTGTAAGTACACAATTATGTATTTTTCCCCCCCCACAAATTAGTATCATTTACTCAATAGTATCTAATGGCTCCTTTGAGAACTTTACTATTATGTCAAGGCCCCTACTTAGTGTATTTTTAGTTTGTGGATCACTGACCCGCTTGAATCCAACGGCGCCGTTAAAGCGTCCACACACAGCAAGGCTCTGTGGGTGGGGGGCAGCCAGGGAGGCCAGGGTCCCGCAGGGTTTGTCTCACCTGCGGCAGCCCCACTGCAACAGTTCCCAGGGAAAAGGGGCTGTTCATACCCAGCAATTCCAACTGTGGATAATAAAGAGGTTCAAGTGGGATTTTTTACTGTTATTGCACATTTCTGGACTAATGCTATTTACTTTTGTATGCACTAAAATTTGGGGGTCTTTTTAAAGGCAAGTGCTTTATAAGAGAGGTGATTATTGTGTACGTGACGCTATGGAGAACTTCAGAGCTCTATTAATGTTTCAGGAAGGTAGGCAGGACAGTAAATCAACGTGTCAATGAAAAAACTCAGATTATTATCTATCTAATCATCTGCCTCTACTGTCTTCATCCCTCCGTATCTGAACACCTGAAAGCTATTATTAATATACTATTTTTTACTGTGCTTATATGCTTCTATTACCAGCACAGTAACTTTCTCATTTATCCTCAGCCATGGTATTAGAGTGCAATACATTTGTTATAATTGTCTGCACCATGCACGTATGTGTACCTGCTAGATGCACTAAGGTGTACCTGTTGTGGAGGTAATTCTTTTCCTTTGGAAATACCTATGGAACTAGCAATCATATGATCATATGGGTACTGATAGCAATATAACACCAGTTACTTGCTAATTTAAAGCAAACTGCATTAACCTGGCATTATGTGTACCCAGGATACCTATCAAACCCACAGGATGTGTGAGGAACCTGGGCCAAAGGAAGAATGTCACATCCCGAGAAACCTACCAGCTCCTGAAAGAGCAGCTCATCTCTATGTTTAACATGCAGAAGTACAGCAAGCCAGAACTCAGCATTTTGTCCTTGGAATGACTCCCACTCACAGGGCACCTGGAGGTTTTTGGTTTTACTCAAATTGAGCCGTACAACCCGAATGTCCCCTGGTTAGCCTGTCAGAGAGGGTGGGATGAAGCTGGTGTGCTGGTGATGCTGGAGCTGGCAACATGGTGGGAGCTACGTACAGGCGTTGGAGACCGACCTAATCTGGCCAGTTGTCTTGCTGTGGTTGCTCTCACATGAACAAGCCTCGCTGGCCTGGAATAACTCCAGTGTGACAAGGATGCTGACAGGCACAGTCTGGTGAAGCTTGACATGTGATCCTAAGAAATGATCACTTCCAGATGTTTTCTTCTCCTCTTTGCCGTAAGTTATCCAGTGTTGTAGGTTAAAGCCCCGTTCACCAACAACTGAGGTTAAAATGGTGGATTTTCTAGTGAGGTAGCTGTGACATTGGCACGTGCTTCCTTTCGACAGAGGGTAAGCCCCAAACAAGCAGACGGCTGGAGGCGATAATTTCTTATATTGCCACAGTGAGACCTGCCAAAGCTTATCTTTCTGTGCCCTCAACTGTGGCCGTAAATCCCATCCCATCAGAGGGGCTTTCAGCATCCCTGCCCTGTGTGCCGCAGGGAGCAGGAATGCCAGCGATGGGGAGGGAGTGGGGTTTGGGGTTGCTCCTTTCATGCCTCTGGTGCAGGGGAAGAACAGAGATGCCTCAGTTTCACTAGGGAAATGCATGGGTTTAAGGACATTAGAAGTTTACCATGTTATCAGCTTAAGTTAAAATCAGCATCTCCAGCTATGACAGAGCTTTTCCATGGTACAATTAGGTTGACATTTAATTCCAGGTAGTGGAACAACTACACTTTCTTGATATAGGCTGAGACAGACGTCTCGTGCTATCTGAAGGTGAGTTTCAGAGAAGCTGATTTTGGTGGCAGACACCCCATCTCCTTTTCCATCTGTGCATTCGCCTGCCCCAGGTTTTGCCTTTTGGTAGTGCTGATGCAGGTCCTTGTGGGGTCAGCTGTAAATCAGATCTTAGACGTAATCTAGATAAAAAAATAATGCTTTGGGTGGTTTATTTGTAAACTGGTTCAATTCAGTGATCTGTTTTCCGGCACAGCTGCAGGTTATGGCTTCAAAAAAATGAAATATTTGGCTTTTAAGTTGTTCCCATATGACTTGTTTCGAATATGACACAAGTATTTGTGCAACCTCACCATAAGCTGGCATAGGGAACTGGTCTGACTTCAGAACAAACAGTAAAATAAAAATAACTTTTTTGCAAGGTTTTTTTTCAAGTCAGGTCAGCTCTCTGACGTGACTTTGAACATGGCCCCATGTCCATTTGCAGCAGGAACCAGCAGCAGGGAGAAATATCCCCAGTCACTACTGGGGCTGAATGCTCGGTTCTCCAAAACCCCATCCTCCCTGGCACAGCAGAGAAGGTCCCAGTCTGTGTCAGAAATATGGAGCCTGTGGTAAGGAGGGGACTTCTCAAGTCCATTTACCATGAACACAAAGATATTACAAAAGCATACAAAAAAGCCATAGTGCACAGCTGTCCAGTATGGTGAACTGGTCTGATGTTTGGAGGCGCATTCAGTGCCCTCTCTGCCTGGCACATTTCTGTGGTGCTGTACAGGGATCCAAACATGGTTCAGCTCCACATTACGATTCATATTATTATTATCTATTTAGTGCTACAGGGATAATGATAAGGTGAAGACAAATTAGCTAAAGCTGTAAAGTTAACGCTTATAAACTAAAAGTACATTAAATTGCAGCACGAGCACTTTCATCCATGAGTTTAAGGCAACTCAGCTTATGTGCTGTAGTTTTACGGATTTATTTAATTTTCCATAACTTTCTTTAGTACTTCACTGGCATAGTTTACCAAACGTAAGTTATCTGAAGAAGGGACTTGTTTCACTTTTTGTTCTGTGTCTGGACATGATCTTCCACAGTGAGGCCTTGGATCCTCGCTGGGTTCACATGCTCTACCGCAGTATAAATAATAAATCCACTATGAAACCTTTGACCACTTTATGTTGGAATGAAGTGAAAACATGTCCCAATCTTTTTTTTAAATGCTTCACTTTTCAGGGAGCAGAAATGTTATTTTCTCTGTTTAGAAAGATCGTTCGCATTAATGCAGTATGGCAATCAAATGTAATTTAAAGGACCAGCTATTAATACTATTAATTCTTTTGCTTCTCCTTCTCCCTCCCCAGATCTCCGGAAAACTTTTGAGCAGGAACCCTTGGGGAAAGAAGTGTCCCTGGAGCAAGAGGTCCTGCTCCAGTGCCGTCCTCCCGAAGGCATCCCAGTAGCCGAGGTGAGTAGCAACGGCAGTGTCCTGGCACTTGGACAGCCTAACTAAGGCGTGATCAGTGCCTAATGGTGCAGTGAGTTAGGGCATGGCATGATGAATGGGTGGTAATGGAGAGCTGACTGACTGCTGCTCGTAGACAAGATTGATTAGGAACTGATTCATAGCTTTGGATTATGGTGCCTTGCTGGGCAGAGCTGCAGGTGGTTTAGTTTCAGTTTTTTCTTCCCTTCCAAAATTCACAGCTATACCTGGCATCCATAGGACACATAGCTGGTAAAGCATATTAATACCAGCCTACTATCTTTCTTTTTCCTTTTAAAGCAAAAAAAAAAAAAAAAATTCACTTATTCTGAGAGGCACCTTTCAAGCATAGTGTAAAGGCATTTTAATTTTTAGTTTGCCAGATTATATTTCCCTCACATGTTTGTCCATGTGCTTGTGTGTGCATCAGCCGGCCAGCTCAGCACAAAAGGATGTGACATGGTCCAGTACAGGCTCCCAGGTGAAGCAGCATGAGGTGGGGGCAAGTAGGGGATGTGTCTGCCTAATAACCATCTTCAGGGGCTTATCTGCTTTTCTTACTGTCATTTAAGTAAACCTGGAGTGGGTAGCCTGCCCTCTACCTGGCAGGATAGAGTCTACCCTTCAGCAAAATCTGTGCCCACCAACAGCAGTGGGTGTCCCTGTGAATCGGAGCTTCCCTAACTGCAGTGGTAGCTCCAGCTTCAGACTCATTGCTCATGGGAGGGGGGTCTCTGAGTCACAGGGGAGCCTCTGAAATCCTAAATCTGCTGTGGCTGTTAAGAGAAAAATTGATTGTTAATGACGGTAATTCCCCTATCTGAATTCTCCTCGATTTTCTTCTGCCATGCACAGAAGAAACTGTTGCCAGTTTACATTAGGATAAGTTAGACTGTCATGGCTAAGTAGCAAAGTGGTTGTCACTCAGTGCTGATGACTGATTTCTCAGGAGATGAAGCTTAAATTGTTACCTCCCCATCTAACCCAAGTTTAGATTTAATCAGAATTGTAGAAACGTGTCCACAAACATCAGAAGGAATAATTAACATAGAAGATTTTTCCCATTTTCTTTTTCTGCAGGCTATTTTCTTTCCCTGTTAAGATCCCCAAAACTGTAAAGAGCATTTAGGTCTGCCAAGCCAGCTTGCTGACAACTGTAATATTAATCAGTTGGCTTTCCTCAGGAACTTAGCAGCAATTTTTTATTTTCCTTTCTGATGCTTCTTTGCATCAAATCTACTTGCCATTTTGCCATGACAGGAGTGTTTGCAATGGGATAAGTTGTTCAGGTGGTGCAGGGTAGTACTGGGGAACTTCATTACCTTTGCTAGAAACAGAGATTGATGATGATGGGTAGTTTGTTTGAATGCAGTGTTACAAGTGCCTCTGAAATTTCAGCAGCCAGTCCAGTTATTCCCTCGGAAACGTCTGTAATGCCTGGTCGGGCAGCTGGGATCCAAACAGCATGATGTAACACGATGCGTGGAAGTGATGTCTGAAAAGATCTTCTGTGAGCTGCTCTTATAATAATTGCACTTTTTCCTGCCTTCTAGTATCCTGGCTGATTCTGTCAGTAGCCGAGATTCATGACTGTACATTAACTGGCTCTGAATCTTATTTGTACCGTGGTCGGGGCAGACACCAATTAACACTTGGCAGGCTCAGAAATCGTATACTCCCTGTCTGACATTCAAAAGAACCATTCTCAATGTTGTTTTTTTTTCCTCTTCTGGCTTTTGAAGTCAGAAGAAGATCAAACACCCAGATTGGACAGCCGCCTAATACAGCCTCTTTGTAGATTCTTTCCAACACTATTAAAAGAACAAAGACCTGAACACTAATGAATATGAATACCTTAATGTGACACTTTATTACAGCCACTTGCTGAAGCTGGTAAGATAAATTTAAAAAAATGGAAAGATGAAAGGTAACTTGGTGGGTTGAAGGATTACATGATTATTTTAATTTAGAGATGAATGAGTTCTTTGTTTAAGAATTCGTTTATTTGTTCGGAGAAGTTTCTGATATGATGGTACAGGTAACTAAGTAAAAAAGGACTTGGGAGAAGGCAGGCAGCAGGCTGAGGCTATTTTCCATCTTGTTGAAAGACTGCTTTGATTCCACATAGCATAGGGTAATGCATATGCTGCAGCTGTGAGCAGCATTTCCAAATGCTTTGGTGAGCATGTACCTGAGACTCTTCCCACTCTGGGCAGTGTGTTTTGTTTTGGGTTTTTTTTCCACTTACTGGCTTCTGAAGTAGTCACTGGACTTAACACCAAAACAGAGGAAGAAAAGCTTACGCTGTGAAACTGTGCAAAATACACATTCATTGTAATGTAATGCTGGAATCCAGAGTCCCAGCATCTTCCCCTTGCTTTTTCTCTTTCATTTTATTCTCTCCCTTCTTTTTGTTTTTTTCCTGGTATTTCAAAGTGGTGAGAACAACCATGCTCAGGGATACATTCTGTCCTCTTTTCAGCAGCTGGGGAATTTAGTCTTATCATTCCCAGCATATTTAATTGCAGTTAACTGTGTCAAGCTCTTATGGATCAATGCTAGAGCAGATCTTACTATTACTGAAAAGCTGAACCGCACAGCAGCATAAAGCTGCTCCAAAGGACAAGAAGGACAAAGACAGAGATGGGCAAGCAAAGCTTTTAAGGCAGCACTTACCAGTCCCTCAGATCCACTAGGACATGATGAGCATTAGAGTAGGCTCAGGTTATGGCCACTAGAAAAAAAAAGCCTAAGATCCAAATAGAAGAAGGTGTGTTAAAATACACCAGCCTCCTGGCCTGAGGTCAAATCAAAGTACGTCTTGCTTGTTCAGTTGGGACAAAGTAAGGAACTGAGGGTTTGCTTGGTCTCTGGGAAAACCAGATCAGCTTCTCTGTGGCCATATACCCCTGCCCACAAGCCCCAACCAGCATCAGTGCCAGCTGCACCATGGCATGCCTCCCCACTCCCAGCTCTATAGCCAATATCAAGCTGAACCTACCTACAGGTTCTGAAACACCCGGGTAAATGTTCTGTCTTTTCCAGTTCATGGTCCAGGCAGGCAGCAGAAGGACCAGTACAAGCACTGTTACATTGGGGTTTCCACACATAGCTGAGGGGTGAAGGGGCAAACTCGCATATTGCTGCCGTGAAAAAAAAAAAAAAAAAAAAAAGATGTAAAAGCAAACACCCTGCCCTAGCTCCATGCTTCCCTGCCTTCTTCTTTTCCTCAGTGGGGAAGAATAAGATAAGGTGGTAGGATAAGCAGTTTGACCTGCCAGACTCGGCAGGAGCTGCTGGTGCTCAGTGGAAGTCAGACAGTTGCAGCTCCCCGGTGTCAACAGAAACATCCATTTCAATTCCACTCTCTTCTGTGCGTGCATTTTTTCAAACCTAACCTGAGAAGACAGGAAGGATCCCATTCCGCGACGCTCCAACAGTAATGGCAGAGTTATTAGCAATTAACCCCTTAGCTCATTTAATTTGTTCTTTGAAAGATGCCAGCACCGTATTGCACGTGATAAAATATAGTTAGAGACACCGAGTCACATCAAATTAGCTCATTGCGATAGGTTATAGATCAAAATATCAATGAGATGTAAGATTGGTTAATATGCCATAAGCTGCCAGATGAACTTTTGCATTGAAATGTATGATTTACGGTGCCTTTAACAGGGGGATAATTGCTTCTTTAATTATAATTGAGGTGTTTCACAGAGTAGTTTAATTGCAGAACAGGGTGTAATGTACAGTTTGGTGACCCAGTTGGGTTTAAAACTGGATGTGATATTTATCCACATTCATGGCTTTAATTAGGAACTAGAGCAAGGGGAAAAACATCCCTGAGTCAAGAGGCAGAGGAGGGTGTTTTGCCGAGTCAAGATGACTGTGACACAGAATTTATTCAGCTGCTCTTGCATGGGCAAAACCTGGTGGAAGCTGGGGACTTCTCCAAATAGGCAGCATCAGGTGGCTGCTCCATCTAATTGATTATTAATATGACTGCTGTTTGCTTTGTTTCATGAGAGCCACTTATGTTTTGCAGCAGTTATCCCTTAATTGGGAGTTCATGTGTATGCATTTCCATGCAGGTGTGTGTCTCCAAGGCAGTGTTTTATATTCCCAGCAGGAAAGTGAGCTCTAAGAGAGGCGAGTAGAGGAGTTTGTGGCCACAAATACTAATTAGCTGGGAAGTGACACTGTCTTTTGCAGTTGCCTTGCAATATACAGCAGAACTGCCTTTGGGTGCCAATGGGAGGAAGAGCAGGGAGGGGGGGGCGGTTTGTGTGCAGAAGGAGCACAGCCCAAACTGAACGAGGACTGCTCATTCATTTTGCCCTGGAAAGCCATTGGTAAGGTCTGGCAATGCAGGCCTGTCCTTCTCCAAAAGTACAGGATAACACTCCCTGTAATTGTCAGTGTCTGGTCCCACACATTTCTGTTCTTTTTTACATACTTTTTACACCCCAGTCTGCTGGTGGGTGGTCAGATCACTCTTTTGAGAAGCATGAGAGATAGGTTACACCCCCTGCTTGAGGCTAGGCTTGCATTTGGGTCTTGTGCTTTCCTGGGCAATACGCTGACTACTAGCTTCTGAGTTTTTTGAGACCTGAATTTTCTATGGGATCCACCCCTATACTTTTCCTTTCTAGTGCAGTTCCATTGATGCTGATGTAAGTGAGGGCAGAGCATGCTCCTAAGTGAATCAAGTTGCTGTATGATCGGAACTGACAACAGGCAAGGATGATCTGTGGGACTGGAGAAGGGTCAGGTTTCCAGTTCCTCCATAAAATATCACAAAGGGAGGTTTTTTACAAGAGCATTGACATGAACCCTGCTAGCTTATCCTCTCTACAACTTGATTTTTGCAGTGAAGATGGCCCTGGGATGCAGGTTTTAGCTAACACAAACTACGTCTCCTCTTCAGGCTGTACTCAGAAAGAGCAGCATTTTACCTTACGCATATTTTTGGAAGATACGCA